TTTTTTTTTTGAGACAATCTCAAGTTGTCACCGTGGGTATAGTGCTGTGGCATCATGGTTCACAGCAACCTCCAACTTGGGCTCAAGTGATCGTCTTACCTCAGTTTTTCTATTTTTAGTAGAGAGAGGGTCTCGCTTTTGCTCAGACTGGTCTCAAACTCCTGAGCTCAAGTAATCCACCTGCCTCAGCCTTCCAGACTGCTGGGGTTATAGGTGTGAGCCACCACACCCAGCCTGCTATTCTATATCAATCAGCTTGTGCAGTGTATTTTTTTAAAATGAGAGCAAGATAGAGATTACAAAATATTACCATGTACAAAGTTAAATTTTTTAAATTCAGAATTGGTAATCTGAAAATGTGATACTTGTTAAGAGCAGAAAACTGAGGATAAGTGCTCTAAACATCTAAGCATCTTCTAGAGTTAATCTTCTGTCACCTCACTGAGCTGACTACCATTCTTGACCTGCTCCCAAAGTTATGTTCCCATCCCATCGTTCTGAAGTTTAAAACTCTTCCGGAGGACATGCTATTATTTTAAAGATGAAATCCAAATTCCTTGTAAGAATATTTAATTTTTTCACTAAATACAGCACTTTGTATAACACCTTTTATTAGGACAGTAATTGACAGAACAAAGAGTTTATTTACCCTTTTACGGGTGTGCAATTTGGGGCTGTTTAGTACATTCAGAATTATATGACTATCAGTACCATCTAATTTTAGAACATTTTCATCACTCCAAAAAAAAAAACAACAACCCTAGACCCATTTGCAGTCACTCCCTATTCCTACTCTGTGGGTCCCTGACAACTACTAATTTACTTTCAATTTCTATAGATTTGACTCTTGTGGACAGTTCGTCTAAATGGGATCAAACAACAAGTGGCCCTTTGTGACTGGTTTCCTTCACCATAATGTTTTAGACTCATCTATGTCACACATTCAGCCAAGTTGTTGCCACATAGCATTCCACTGTATGGAAATACACAGGATATCTGAGTTATTTCTGCTTTTCGACTATTGTGAATAATGCTACTAAAAATTAAACATACAAATTTTTATGTGGACTTATGTTTTCAATTTTCTTGGACACATAAGGAAGAATGTGGCATTGCTGGGTCACATATGTTGAACTTTTTGCAAAACTGTCAAACTATTTTTTGAAGTAGCTATACCATTTTAAATTATCACCAGCATGTATTAAGACTCTAATTTCTCCATATTCTTGCCCGTATCTGCTACTTTCTTTCTGTTACCAGGGGTAGAGTGCCATGGCATCACAGCTCATTGCAACCTCAAATTCTTGGGCTCAAGTAATCCTCCTGCCTCAGCCTCCTAAGTAGCTTGGACTACAGGTGCCTGCCACAACACCTGGTTAGTTTTTCTATTCTTAGTAGAATTAGGGTCTTGCTCTTGCTCAGGCTGGTCTCCAACCCCCAAACTTAAGCAATCTACCCACCTCAGCATAGCGGAATACTAGGATTACAGGTGTGAGCCACTGGGTCCAGCTTTGTTATTGAGTTCTTTATACATACTCTGGATATAAATTCCTTATCAGTTACATGACTTGCAAATATTTTCTCCCTTTCAGTGTGTTGTCTTTTCATTTTCTTATGTATCCTTTGAATCACAGAAGTTGTAATTTTGATGAAATCCAACTTACCAACTTTTTGTTGCTTGTGCTTTCAGTGTTATAGCTAAGAAATCATTCCCTAAATAGGCTCCCAAAGATTTTTTTCCTATGACTTTTTTCCTAAGAGTTTTATAGTTTTAGCTCCTATGTTTAGGTCTATAATCCGCTTTGAGTAGATTTTTACATGATGTTGGTAGGGAATCCAATTTCATTCTTTTGCACATGGATATCAAATTGTGAAATACAGCAATTTACCTATAAACCCTTTATCTGCCCCCACCCTCATTAATCCTAGTCACTCTCTAACTTGCTTTAATGTTCTAAGCAAACAAACAACTTGCCATTCCCCAATGCTACCTACATCTATGCCCCAAACTCCATCTTCTGACTAAAGGACATCCTTTGAAGCTCATCTTAGGCTATCATCACTTTCCATAAACTTTTTCCTAATCCTAGTCCCACACCTTATTCTGGTTTAGGGATCCCACAGAGCCTCGCAGAGATTCTGAGTAACATTTCTGAAACAGAAGTGGCCCTAGTGAGTAAAACCCTACAGGTCTAGAACTGATCTGTTTACAGGGGCTCTTAGAAAATACAAAACTTCAAAACTGTCTCAGAATGTAGTCTAGTTCAGCAAGCCTTTCAAAAGACATTCAGATTAGAATCAGTTTTGGAAAGAAA